TGGTGGCCAGGCTCAGGGAGAATCTAGCTAAAGGGGCATTGATCCCATCAGCTTCGGGCTCTTCAGGAAGTTGTGTCTGAAATACCTGAAGTGGCTATGGAAATGATCCCTATTGCTATAATCCCCCATTATGATGCTTTTAAACCAGGCAACCAGCTGTATGTTAAGAGTTGGAAGGGCCAGCCCTCACAGCCAAAGTGGGTGGGGCCACAACTGGTGATGGTAACCGCTCCTACTGCACTCAACAGGTAACGCTTGATGGATACACCACTCCACAGTGAAGGCAGCTCCTACCCTGAGAGTTGGGCTGTGGAACCCGCTGATGACCTATTCAAAGTAGAGATCAAAAAGACATAGTAGCCAGGAACCAGTGGCTCTCGCCTGTAATCCTAGCTACTCCAGAGGCTGAGATCTGAGGATCACAGTTCAAAGCCACCCCAGGCAGGAAAGTCTGAGAGATTCTTATCTCCATTTAACCACCAGAAAACTGGAAGTGGCACTGTGGCTTAAGTTGTAGAGTGTGTGCCTTTTGCTGAATTGCTGAGGGACAGGGCTCAGGCCCAGAGTTAAGCCCCACAACTGATCAAAGGAAAAAAAAAAAAAGACAGTGTTACCAGCCATGATCTTAGGTCTGTACTGGAGAGGGAAGGACTTGTCCATTAGCTTGATTTGCAGATATCTATGTGGACTCCACTCCTTACTAGGATGAATTGCACTGGTAATTGATTCCTAAACTGTTGTTTCTCTGCTGGATTCTGGGCAGCTTGACCAAGCTGCATTCTTCAACTATGACTTTATAATCAAGAACATCCAACTGGGTTATAACATAGCCAAGTTCTTGTGGGAGGAGAGGAACCCTGCCCTGTCCTCATTTGATGCATGCTCTACGTATTCACCACCAAACAAAGGAAAGGTGAGTACCTCATATGGGCAGCATGGGGATGGGGCAGTAGTGATAATCACAGACCCTTCCCCTGGGTATAGAGACCTCACTTTTGAGAGATGGTTATAGCTCCAAGCCTTCTATATCTGTCCAGGAAATAAGAATTTACACTCCAACTGTCAAAACTTGAAAGAATATAATTGCCCTGATTGGGATTGTGTCAATGTGGGAACCTGGTTGGGGAGCCCTAATATGACCCAACTGGCCTCAGCTTGGAGGGGTTCTCCAAATCCAGAATGCTTATTGGGAAAATGTAGTCCTTTTTTCATCAAGCTACCAGTCCAGGCTCCAGTGAGTGGTATCCAGATAAAGCCTGAAGAATGAGATTCTGAGTCACCAGCAAGGATCCAAGGGGTCTCTTTCATCCCAGCCACCCTTGCAAATTGGGCCCTTAGTTGACCTCTTCACTCACCATCCATTCCAACAGTCTCCTTAAACTCTCCAGCCCCCTACTATACAATTGCCCTCCCTAAGGTGGACCTGTCTGATTTACTACAGGCCACTCTTGGGCAGTCAAGCTATGCCAGGTCTAGCACAAGACTGCTGGCTCTGTCTTCAGTTCAGACCCCTTTTTTACATGGGGCTAAGCTCCTGACTGCCAGCCACCTTAGGGTATGGAAAATCTTGCAATACCACAGGGTCAGTTCTTACCCTGGGAGATGCCAAAAAATGCCTCATGATTCTATTAATGCCTCACTTTTACTCAATTACCCAAATGCCTTCAGCTTGCATGGGGAATGTTACCTTATAAGATAATATTGCTAATATTGCTCTTGAGCAAACCCATTTTGCATGTGCTGATGACCTAAAATCATGTATTGATGGGTCTTTGCAAAAAGGACTCTGCATTTTAGTAGTTGTACTGCACAGGTCCTAGTACACAGAGGGGAAGGAAGTCTCAACTTCATGGTGCCCCATCCAACCCATGCCAAGAGAGCTGTGATGATACTGATGCTGGTTGGCATAGGGATCACTGGGACCTCCACTACTGGGACCACTATCCTTATGAAGGGGGATGTGGATACCAAGACTCCAAGCAAGACCATCCACCTGGACATGTGGAGATTGAGATGGCCATCACAGACTGCCACACTCAGCTCAGCAAAATGGCTGAACTTGCCCTCCAAAACTGGCATGACCTGGACCTTTTGTTATATGCACACTGAGGACTGTGCTCAGCACTTGAGGAAGCATGTTGCTTTTATGCCAATAAGTCAGATATCATTTAGGAGACTTTACAAAAATAACTAGACAGATAGGAGAGGGAAGTTAGGCATTGAATTGTATGACAGCCTTTTAAATTAGAACCCATGGTTATCCTTAATTCAGGGAATTACTGCACCCATTCTTATTCTACTCCTCCACATGTGGCCTATGCTTCCTTAACTTAATAACAAGAAAAATTAATAACCAGAATGATTCAGACCAGAATGGAAGCTATCAAACCATTCTTGCTATTCCATCAATATGACCCACTTGTCAGCAAAATGTAGTACTTATATTTCAATGACTTAAGTTAATGTATTAAAGGGGGGAATGAAGTAGACAGTTATACCTTCCTAGTAACTATGCCCCTGGCAAAGGCCATTTTGCCTGAATGTGGCTAGGTGAGGCTGTCCACTGGAATATGGGTTTCAGGCAGACCAGATGGAGCTATCTGGATCAATAACAGAAAGTCCACAAGTAATTTTTGAAATTGTACACCTGTCCTGATCTTTGCCTTTCTAATTAATGATGTGTGTGTGTTTGTGTGTGTGTGTATGTGTGTAACCAACGTGTATAAAACCCAGGGTTTCCTCTTCCTTGAGTCTGAACTTCTTTCTGGCACTAGCCAGGTCACTGGCAATACACTCCTTTATCCTCTCTAAAATGTGGTCTTAATTTTTGCTCATCTGTTTGCTGTAACAAGATCACTGTCAGTAAAGATAAGAAGGAAAATTCAGAATGTCTGGATCTACAGCAGGACTTTTGCTCAAAGGGGCCTAGAATGTACCTCAATCAGAGCTTTCTGGATCTGTGATCTGCTTAGTTTGAGAATGGAAATAGTTTGAGACTATTAGTTCTGGCGTTCCATGTCCCTTCTTAACATATACTGTCCCATACACGGGGCCCACTAGGCTCCTAAGTAACTAGCTGGAGAGCTGGATTTTTAATTTAAAGAATAACAATAAAATTCCATTAATTTAAAAGCTGATACTTCAGTTAATTGGAAAAAATATTTATGTATGTTTAGAACAACTTGAGTGTACTGATCTACTTTTTTGGTTATAAATTTTATTTAGTCTAGATTTTTTAATTTTGTGAAATCTACTTATGGTTTGCTGTGAAATGTCTCCCACAGATTCTTGTACTGGGTCCTCAACTGGTAGCCTATTATAGCAGGGTAAGAAAACTTTAGGAGGTGGGGCCTAATTAGAGGAAGCTTTGCAGGGGGGGGGGGGGGGAAGCTTTGAAGGTTACATTGAAATAAGGAGGCCAGGTCTGGCTGGCACCATTTTGGCCACGTGGTGGATTGTAGGGTCTGGCATCTTGTCTTAATGCTGGGGGAAGAAAACCCCCTGCCCATCACCTGCCTCCCAGATAATGGGTGCCTGGATCCTTGGAGGTAGGGGTGGGCACTTGGCTGATAGGTTACTGAATCTGTCAGTCCAGTGCCAGAAACTGGGAATTTCCTGAGGATCTGCCCCCTGCACCTACCTATTTAGGCCTGGACCAGCCTAGCTGCCATAATGCAATGCCATGTGTGTGTGGTGATCATGTCCTGTGTCCTGTCTCCTGGCTCATCACCAGTCATCATGGTGTCCCAATTCAGTTCTCCCATGAAGCTGAATTGGCTTGTTGGTATTTTGTTCTTTCTTTCCTCTTTAGCATGTTTCCTAGCTGTATTATGTGTATGCTGCAGGCCCGTGTAACAACTGGATGCCTGCAGCCAATTATACAGTTATACAGTTAACAGACTGTATAATAAAGACTCTAATATTATATATTTTAAAATGTGGCTTCTGGGATGGTAGGTCACTGGAGGAAGTAGGCAGCTGGGAAACATGTCAGGCCATGAGATGAAAACAGACTGCTGCAGAGCAAAACCACGTCCCTACCAAAAACACCATCTGAGTCAACCATTCTTCGAGTGCACTGGCCTAAGGCCGCTCAAACTGGCAAAACAAGCTGTGTGCCACAAGTCCCTACTTACTACAAGTGCTGCTTTTACCCCACCTATAAAAGCTCTGCTACAACTATACTCAGGGCAACCTCTCTGATCCCAACCAGGGAGTTCGCTCAGGAGCATACCCCAATAAACATTCCTGTCAATCTTTTATTCCTCTCTGTGTGGTCCTTTTCTCGCCTAAAACCTTACAACAGCATCTGGTCTCCTGTCACTTCCTCCCTCTCTCTGCTTTCTGTATACCATGGGGCAGAGAACCTCCTCTGCCTCCAGTGCTGCCATCATGTCCTGCCTAAGTGCTTGAAGCCAAGTGGCAGTGAGCTGACCCCTTTACAGCCTGTGATCCCAAAGAAATCATTCCTTCTGCAAGCTGTTCTCTCAGATATTTTGGTCACAACTATGCCAAACTAACCAGTACTGTAAGGATCAAGTACTTCTGCTGAAAATTCAAATATTTCTGCTGAATTAGCAGATTTGCTGCTCCTTTAAAATATTTAGCACAAACAAATCTAGTAATTTTGAAGCTGATCACCAGTAGAAACAATAACACACAGATGGATAACTAAATGCGTTTCTGAAAACAAGTCACCTGTTTCTGTTGATTGTAAACACAAAACGAGTTGCCAGAACATTTAGCAACACGTGTAGCTTCACTGCAGTTAAAAAGTAATAATAATAGAAGTGCTAAATTTACAATCTGGCTGACAAAGACACCAACGTTTGCTAACAGTGCAAGGCGCCACTTCATTGATGTCAGATCAGGAATGTGGTGGGGCGGAAAGTTTGGGAAGACGGCAGGAGGAAATGCAAGTCAGCATTGAGGTGAGGAGAGGAAGCTTGGTCTCGCACATGCGCCTGGGCGGCGGTCCGTGAGCTCGCTGTCTTTTGACCCTTGCGCTGCGCCGTAGTCCGCGCTGCCGGCCCGGAGGTCGCGATGGCGGACGTGTCCGAGAGGACCCTGCAAGTATCCGTGCTGGTGGCTTTCGCCTCCGGAGTGCTCCTGGGCTGGCAGGCGAATCGGCTCCGGAGACGCTACCTAGACTGGAGGAAGCGGAGGCTGCAGGACAAGCTGGCGACGACGCAGAAGAAGCTGGACCTGGCCTGAAGGCGCGCGCCGGGGGCCCCAGACGACCTCGCGTTTGCCTCTCGATGCCGGCGCGTGAGCCCCGGGCCGCGCGGGCCTGGGCGGGGCCGGGGCCGGGGCCGGGGCCGGGGCCGGGCCTGGCCTGGGCCTGGCGCTGCTAGCTCTCTGCCGCCCTGAGGATTGTCCTGAGTGTTAGGTGAGCAGCCACGGGGACGCTGGAAAGCGGGGGGCCGGGGGAAGGGGCGGCACGGCCAGGATCCCGGGGCACTCGGTCGGATAGCTCACAGGAAATAACTTGCTCCACAGACAAGCAAGCCAAACAGTAATACAGTAGTTCTGTCTAATCACTCATGCTCTAGTGCTGCAGGTGTTTCGGATGCATTTTTTTTTTTTTTTACGTGAAATGTAGTTGCACTGGGCATTTAACTTCACAATTGAAAATACTGGAGATGACCAAGTGATTTAAAGAAATGTAATGCACGTCGGTTGACACCGATGTTTTCTAAATTCCAATCCGAACTCTTAGGTTTTTGGTAGCCAGGCAAAGTAGAAAGCTTTTGGCATGGAAGTCTGGAGCTCTGCGTCTTAGTCAGCTTTTTTTTCATCAGGGTTTCACTGCTCTTCTCTGTTCCCAGATCTTTTGGTGATACAGAATTTGAGTTCAGGATCTCAGTTTGCTGGGCTGATGCTCCAGTCTGGCATTTTTTGCTGGTTAATTGGAGACGGAGTCTAACGGATTTATTTATTTGTTTATTTATTTATGCCTATTCTAGCTCCAAACCAGGATCCTACTGATCTCAGCCTCCTGGACAGCTAAGATTACAGGCTTGAGCCACTAGTGCTAGGCCAGATCAGTTAATAGTTCAGGGTTTACTTTGAAGTTAAAACATTGTTTTATTAATTTTTTTTCTCTTTTCTGTTTCCAACAGCTTGTCGAAGAAAGTATTGAAAAAGTAATTTCTTCTTGCACTTTATGGCTGTATTTTTAAAATAAAAGTTTTAAAACATCTTTGAACACGTGTGTGTGTGTGTGTGTGTGTGTGTGTGTGTTGGCGTGTGTTGGCCCTGGGGCTTAAACTCTTTGAACACGTGTGTGTGTGTGTGTGTGTGTGTGTGTGTGTGTGTGTGTTGGCCCTGGGGCTTAAACTCAGGACCTGAGCACTGTCATTGAGATTTTTTGCTCAAGAACAGAGCTCTACCACTTGAGCCACATCCCCTCTTCTAGCTTTTGACTGCTTAATTGGAGATAAGAATCCTCTGGCTGGCTTTGAATCATGATCCTCAGAACTCATCCTCCTGAGTAGCTAGGATTATAGGTGTGAGCCACTTGGCACCTGCTACCTTTTTTTTTTTTTTTCCAAAAGGGAAAGGAATATCTTGCCTGCCATTCATTTAACTGCAACAGAGATCTGGATTTTTAAAGTTGATATATTAGTGATTTTGACCAGGTATCTTCTAGCAGTCTGTAGAGATCTTTGATACAGCCATGAGGCAGAGTTCATCATGGACCATGTAGATCCTTTTGTGGGACTGACTGTTCAGGAAAGCAAGGAGCCTTGTAAATAAAACAAATAAGGATGATATATGTAAGACTTTTGCACTATAATAATAATAGCAGCTTCCTAGAAATACAGTTTTACATTTTTATTGGCAAAAGTCTCCTTTATGTGTCATGGAACATACAAGTAAAGGAGAAACGCTTTTGACTAGAGTTTAAAAGTGTTAGAGTGACCAGGCCTCTAATTATTTTTCATTTACGTAAGGTGTGTTCTAGAGCACCACCCTTGCTTATTCCCAGCTCCATTTTGTGTCTCAGCTCCATAAAACATAAGAAAATTCAGAAGACTTGTTTGTAGAATCCCCTCCACTCCTCATTATATTAGGACTATTCTTCTAACCTTGTTTTCATTCATTCTATGACTGTGTTACACAAAGACTAAAATGTTCTTTAGAGTTCCATCTGGGCTGCAATTTGCAATTTGAGCTCAGTTGAGGCTCCTTGAAACAGGAAGTTTCTTGAGGCACGCATTACCCACTGTTAAAATGTATTATATTATTAAAGCATCTGGATTGTGAAGGCCTACTTCCTCTGCCATGCTCCTGATTTTTTTCTGTGCTGATTTTTTTTCTTGCTACTTATATTGCAGCACCCTTATCTATTCAGTCTCCTCTCTTGTGCTACCTCTGAGCATCCCTGTTTAGGCCTGAGCTGCCCACTTCTGTGTCTGCATTCTATGGCATATTTAACCATTTCTAATCTTGTTTTTTGACTATGACCTGCTAATGCTGTACCTGTATGCTTCCAGCCCTGTGGTGAACAAATCCCCTTAACAATACATCTGTCATCTTTTTCTTTAATCCTGGTTAAATGTTCCCTGCCTCTGAAGATGCAGTCTCACATAGAAATAGTACTTTTTCTATCCTAGTCTGAGTTAGAATCAGAAAATGGGAAGTCACAGTGGCAGTCAGTACCCCAGAAATGATATTGTCGGCTCACAGGCTCCCACCCCGATTTAATCACAGCTTCTGCCTGTCTTAGCCTACTTCTTTTTGCCCCAGGTGAGCTTCTCAGCCAGCGTGTTCCATTCTGCATTGCTTTCGCCTTCCTTGGACCTTGGCTCCAGTAGCTGTGTTATCATGTTGTATTTAACTTCTGTAGTCTCAGCAGGCAAACGAGAACAGCTAACATCCTCTACATTTGTAGAACTGCCCATTCTGGAGACCATTGGTTATCTTACCCTTCCAGATCACCTTATCAGTCCTTGGCAACCCCGGTCACATTAGACTCCATCCTCACACAGTCACTCTTAAGTGCTTTTGCTTTCATTTTAGACCACCAAACTTACCAGTAGTACCTGGTCATTAGTACCTGCCATTAACATTTTTTGGGGGGGGGCCGGGGGGGGCACAGTCCTGGGGCCTGTCCCTGAGCTTCTTTGCTCAAGGCTAATGCTTTACCACTTTGAGCCACAGCTCCATTTCCTGTTTTCCAGTGGTTAGTTGGAGATAAGAGTCTCATAGAATTTCCTGCCTGGGCTGGCTTTGAACCACAATCCTCAGTTCTCAGCCTCCTAAGTAGCTAGGTATGAACTATTAGCACCTGGTTTACATCTTTTATTCCTAGTAGATTGTTCTGTACTGCAAAAAAATATATAAAGCCCCTTCGAAGGAATTCTTTCATCTCTTTTCTCAGTAGATGTGTTTAGGGTGATGGTTTTCAACAGGGCTAACTATAATGGTCATTCAGGGGACCTTAAAAACACTACTTTAAGCATACCATGCCCCAGAGGTTTTGGTTCACATAGTTGAGGTATAGGGAGGAAAGTTTTTAAAGCTCCCCAGATGATTGTGTTGCTCAGCTTTGAAGTGAGGAGGCTGAGGCTAAGTAACTTCTTAGAGCCATCCTGTTGCTTCTTGCTGATTGCTAAAAAGCCTAGAGATGAGAGAGGCCATTCATTGCTTGCAGATGCCTAGCTCAAGGTGAGCTGGGATAGCATTGCTTCAGAGAAATGCAGACGTCATAGCCTTAGGAAAGCTTTGCAGAAAAAAAAAATACTCTGATTCTGCGTTGGTTACCTCCCTGAATGGCTTGAATCCCTGAATGGCTTGAATCGCCCACCTCTGAGTTGCCTCTAAGATTTCCCCTATCTGGAAGGTTGAAGTGTTTCTTCTCTAGACATAAAAATTTTGCTGGTACATGTTAGTATTATGCTCACCTCTGGTCCTCAGCTCCACCCACACGTGGGCCCTCTCCCATTCCTGGAGTTCCGGCCATACAGCTGGCCCCTCCCTCTCTCCACGCAGACCCACCTGAACTCTCATCTACCTCACTTCCTATCCCTCAGACCCTCCTGCTTCCTGGATGGGGACGGAGGCCATGTCCTCCCTCTTGGGGAAAATATAGCTCCTCTAATAAACCTTATAATAATTTTTCTCCTGTGCCTGCCTGCCTCTGCATGGTCCCCTGGGATGGATGTGTGGGTTCCTCCTTCAGTACATATGACCATATAGAGTCAGGCTAATTGAAATGAAATTTGAGACATGGAGACAACAGGTCTTTTTTTTTTTTTTTTTGGTGGTGGTTGACCGTGTCACTGTACTGTATCTAGTTCTTTCTTTTTACTTTATTTTGCTTTTGCCATTGGTCCATCACTGGCAATCACTGTCTTTGATTCTGGTACCCTGCATCTTGTGTGTACATTTGTCTGATTTGGGGAAGGGAAGAGGAATAACAAAATGCTGAAACAAGGCAAAAGATGACCCAATGCAACAATGATACTCAGAAGACACTATGTTGGAAAATAACTTCACGACTTGGGGGGGGAGGGGAATAGTGGGAGAAAAAGGAGTGGGTAACAATGTTGACAAGAAATGCATTCATTGCCTTACTCATGCTAACTATAACCCCTCTGTACAGCATCTTTACAATAAAATAAATTCTTCTGGTACCTGAGCTTGTACCTGAGTATGTATGTCCATATAACATCTGCTTTTGTTAAGGCTTGGTCTCCATCTCAAACATGTGTGGTTGTTGCTAGTGAAATGAGCTCCCTTCCCATAGCTTAGTCCACTCCTTCCCTTCTCCACAGCTTAGCATGCTCCCTTCCTAGGCAACACTAGGCCCATGTAGTAAAGGCAGTAAATAATCAACTTCCAACCCTCTTTACCTTGGGTTGGCACTTCTCTGGGGCAGCTACCACCATATAAGGCAACAAGAGCCCCTTAGAATGACTTTCAGGTCTAGGCATTTGCAGGACCCCTTATCTACTATTTGGATAGCAGCCATAAATCCTAGTCCACCATGATGAAGCCCCTGGCCTACATGTCCACACTGGGGTCTCTGCCTCCTAGCCCCTTCTAGCTCCTCCTACACCTCCTAGGTTATATAGATTACCTCAGACAATAGCCAGGGCTTTGTCTCTGCCAGCCCCCTTTCCTGGCAATAAACCTTTCTTTGTTCTCTGTACCTGATATCTGTGTGGTTCTCTGGCAAAGTCTATTAATCTTTCACTTAATCTTTCAGTTGTCTTTAAAAGCTTGGTGTGAGCTCAGTTATTGGCTGCTGTTTTTTGAGACAGGAATCCACATGCAGTCGTTGGCTTTTTAATAAAGACTTCCGATTTGATCTTTCAAAATGTGGCTTTTCTGTTTTCTCACCGTACCAAAAGGTGAGGTTGAAATCCTACTGGTTTTGAGGCCAAGTTTCGTTAGCTTTCCTTAAAATCCAGACATGACACATCGGTACCCCTACCCAAGCTGTCACCTCTCTGGCCTAGATTGTATTTTTTTGCATCTTCTCTCAGGACTAAAGAGGCCAAGTATGATGTGACCATGTGGCTGTTAAAAGCCAAGGCTCAAGGTTTAGTCATCTTTAACATCTGCTTTCCCTCTAACTAACAAAGGCACAGACCTTTGGTGGAGATAGGGGGAGTAAGGGTAGAGGACTAGAAGGAGGGGAAGGTAATAGGGTAATCTTACATGTACTGTTACATGTTTGTATCCAAAATGAAAATTTAGTGAGCTATACATTTGGCGACATATACTTTTTATATATTATACTTAAAAGAAAAAAATATATAAGCAATCATTCTGTTTGATGGGGGAAATCAGCTTATGGGAAGTACTGAAGAACACATGTCTATATTAATATGATCCTGTTATGGGGAAAAGTCCACCACTCAGAGGCAGCCTCATGTAAAAAAGATGACTTTATTGGGGAAGTGGATAGCTGACTGGCCCGGGACACAGCACAGACTTGGGAGCTGAAACTGTGACCCCAAACGGCCCACAAGCTAGGGTTTTTAAAGGCAAAATCCATGTGGTCAAACCTGGTCACACACAGGTGGTCAATGGGATTGTAACACACACACAAAGATTGTATATTTATGTCAGTGGTCAGTGGCCAATGGGGTTACAGTCCATCTCATAGTAACTGTTTGAACTAACCTATCATTGTGGTTTGAATTGGCATGCAAATTTGGGGTCCCCACACAAAGCAGGTGGATATTCTTACTC